GGAAAGTATCACTTTCACACTTGACACCGTCCAGCTAAGTGTGGAAAAAATTCGAGGTAAACGTATAATGACCGAGTGCATGTGAATGGCTTATATTCAGGTAATGCGGACTGATTTGAAACGATGCAACTGATCGAAAAGAAGTATTAATGTAGCAGAACCTCTCGAAAGAAGTGAGGGGGTCAAATTTTGTTGGATGCTTGCTTGTGGTGAATGCGAATGGCTGGCAGTGTATCTAATTAGCCTCAGTGGAGTGAGTGACCGGACAATCGTAGACAGAAAATAGATGAAATCACGTGATAAGATTGCCCGATCCGCAACGTATCCCAAAAAGTATATAACTTGTTCAGCTGTAGCACCCTTTCGGTAGCAAGCTGCCATGCCACTCGAAGGAAGCACGAGGGCTGGGATACTTCCAATTTGCCCAAACCTAGACAGGAGAAGTCGAGAAGCAGAGGTTGGGTTCGAACCACGGACCTTCGGTCAGTAGATTTGAGCTCTAACCACTGAGCCATCTCACCCCCTAATGTATCTTAATGACAGTTAGTTCCGGAGTCCCCAACCGTAGTATTTCTGGGCGATGACGACTTTATACACAACCAGGAAACGACAGAAAATGCTATATCAAAATTGGTAGACACTCGTTGTCTCATCTTAGTGTGCACTGCTACCTTGTCAGCAGCTCGGTTGTTGTTTCCCTCAGGGTTAACCGTGGTTTGACACGACACGAAACCTTGCATACTAGCATGTTGCAATGCACTAAATTACACCAGGCCGCACCGCGCTAATTGATTAGAATTAGCTCTTTCATGTTATTCACGGTTGTGCCCAAACGCTTGTGGCTACTTCACACACATTCGGGTTCTACGGAAGATCTCTAAATTGGTGTGGGGCTTTAGTAAGCAGTGGGTCAGTGTTCCGAAAACAAGGACCCAACAGAGGGAGAAATAATCAACTCCAGACCTGCTCGATGGTAACATGGACTCGACTAGGCTCGTTTCTACTCTCAAATGAACCACCAGTCTAAAATCAGAACACATGATTTCGACAAGGCTCAAAAGTCCATGAAGTGACCGTGAGGGTGAATCTCGAATCAAGACCATGACAGACTGACATTTCCACGTTCAGTCTGACCACTACGACAGGTACTGACTTTCAAACATCGGCTAAAAATTTTCACATTCCAGGTTAGTATTCACGCATTGTTTTGCATCATATTCAAGCGATGTTTGCGGCGGACGGAGCACCGAAGATGCATTTTACGCTTTGCGAGGCTTTTGTCTGTTTAGGCATCACTCAGTCACGTGAACAATCACGCCGACGAACTCGCATACACTACATTCATCACTGGAAACCGGCAGCAAATACAAGCTCAAGGTCGGACAGAACAACCTTCAATCTCGTTTCCAACAACTGGTACGGAGCGCGAGATACAGAGTTTGTGACAAAAATAATTGGATGAAATATGGTGGGGAGTAGTCATGCGTCAACAGGAGCTGTAGGACATTACGGACAAACCGAACCATACCCCAGCTAAGTGATTGCTAAGGCGCAATAGTCCAACAGCAGTACACACAGGTGTCGCAATGGATGATAGAAACAGATTTGGGAAATAATTTTGATCTTTTATTATCTGGATATCGTCCTCTCCATGAAAAAATCGTCTCCAGTCAATCATTAGTTAGTGTAGGACAGATGGAGAGTATGGTATGCTGCTCCACGAATACTCCCGTTTGCAAACAAAGTTAGTTTTGACGGGAGACCCAACTGAATCCAGCTGAATCGCGCATTTATGATGGTCAGCCTCAAATGAATGTGTTGCACGAGACCGCTTCATGTTTCGTTGTCTAGGCGCAACAAACTACTCACAAAGTTACTGAAAGTCCTCCGAAAGCCCACGACTGATGCATGTTCAGCGAATCTCAGTGGATGCCCCTAATCAGTGTGGAGAACATAAGATAACGAAGATTTTGAGCCGGATGAACCTTGTGCAAGGGATCGTGCCAGATTTAAGTGATTCTGCAGATAGCAAGATTGAAGCCATCGTGAACAAATTTATGGAAAGTAAACTTGCAAGCGCGGGTATGCTCCTGTAAAATAGTGTTCGGCTCGGAACGACACTACTACGTCCCTGGTTCCACAATGACAACGCGCTAACCTCGAACGGCAAAATTGATACAACCAGCAGTCGTATATTTACAACCCTATATTTCCTAGGTGTATACAAAAAACTATAGGTCTATTTTTTGTTTTATTATATCAAGATAGCCATTATCATATGTACTCAGGCAAGGTAGGATGTGGATTCTCGGCTGTTCCGCAGGATCTACTGGATGTAGCCAAAGGGAGGGGACGTCAAGGATACAAAAACAACAAAAACAAGTGATACTCATACCCTTCCCATTGCTCGCAAAAGCTCGCAGGCGGTCTGCACACATCTGAGCGAGGGAGAACTGTAACACACGGTGAATTGGATGCCTGCTTCCGCAAGACTGCGTCCGGTTTCGGCTGCAACAAACAGGCCTATTTGGGTCACAGGTGAATCCCAAACATAGTCCATAATGTCCGCACGAGGAGGCAACCACGGGGGTAGGTTCAGGTTGACGCGATGATAGATACCTAAAAAAAACAGATGGCAGAAGGGAGTGCCAAATTCTACTCTCAACAAACAAGATTGCAAAACACGTCTATCTTTTGGAAGAAACCCCTAAATGCGAGAACAAGTGTTATCAAGTGCAATCTCTTCTTCATGTACTTTGAAGTCATACATCCAAATACGCAATAGCATCGAAGGCATTCATCTTGGGACAATTTGGAAAGACAAATCGCAAATATCCTAAATAATCGAAGTGAGAGAAGTAGAAGGAAGAGTAGTCATCATTTGGATTCCACTTGACCTCAACCCCCCTCAAACTAAATTGTCGGAACACTCACAACCCCACAAAGACTAAGGAAAATCTAACAACGGCACCCGAGGCGAATCATCAAGTGAAGCACTCTGAAGTGGAAGATTAAGGAACAAAAAGCGATTGGAACTAATTTGGAACCCTCCAACACATCGATTCAAGATTTTGGCACCCACACTAGCCGACAAGAGCCATTAATTGACACTCAACACTGATTTAGTCTGAAGAGAACTTACTGATTGGTTCCCCGTCTGTCTTATAACCTGGCCAATTTTGTGACCTGTTCACTTGGCCTGATGAAGCTTTTGTGTCAAAAGCGAAACGTTGCCCAAATAAAAACTACCGATTGTTTACCAAGCTCTTCTGAAACGATGACTTCTCAATCGGTTCCAAACTTTTTCCAATTGATCGAAGTGAGAAGTTTGTTTCTTTGAGGTTGATATAAATGGTACGCTACATATGCACTATGTCCAGGAACACGTCAATATCACATGGTCACATCCCTTCCGAAAACTTGACTGCATTAACAAATATCGAGGACAATGTTTCGACAACTCCTCCACCGGGTGAGCTACAACTGTCCTTTATACTAACTGAGTCGATAGCTATTTGATTCGATGAACCGCATAACAGTCGATTACATAGGCTGATGACTGTAAAATGGATGTATCTCAACTCACGACTTAAATTCGTTGCCATTTGCTGTAGAAGTGTCAGAAATCGCAGTGGTTTTCGTACAGGAATAGGAAATACCCTTTAACTCTCTGTATTTACTCGGACCTGTTGCCCCAGCTTCATAAACTTCCAAGCTCCATCTTTCTGAAAGTGTGTGATTCCATTCTCCTTAGACAGAAAATTATAGATTTGAGATTTAGTACTTCACAACCGACGATCCGCTGGTTGAATAGCTTGCCATCCAGGCAGATTTCTTCCAATTGAATCTATCGTAATCTTTCTCACATGTGGCGGTCGAAAATGATAGTGTCATTTCACCACTAAGATCATTGTTCTCCAAGTTAACAAATGTTGCGGATGTCCTGATAAACAGGTCTTTCAAAGTCAGGAACATAGTGTAATTTGGGCTCTGAGTGGTAAACAGGTCAGGTGAAAATAAACGTAAAGACAAAAGTGTAATTTTCCATCTCACAAATACGCATACGGACATACAGAAGCACGAACACCATATTTCGGTTAAGCTGACTGTGTCTACCCGGTAGCTTTCGACAGGAACAGGGAGTGTCGATTCAAAGCGTGACTATAGTTGATGTGGCGATCCGTCTTCACAAACGGTTGTCAAAATATGACATTGTACCGGCACGTAAGCCGCCTGCACTGATTCATTCACAAGACGGAACTGATAACAAGGATAAGGGGTGAAAGAAATCGGTATTACGGCGACGCAGCGTTTTCCGGTCCCTTTGAAGTATGCTCAATATCCGCTATCCCGTTCAATGAGGTGCTTCCAGTCCTCATGATGGCAACGAGCCTATGAGATACTAAAAAACGTCCTCTAATGCAGGATGTTGCTTTTAGTCTTTGCTGTGCTCCGGTACGGAGAGCGCATCTGGTTAATCCAAGCACAACAGGGTTATGGGGGAGGGAGACTAAAAACCTAGCTCGCATCCTTATGGTTATCACAGTTTTACCTTCGCAGAAAGACAACTCTCAACAGTTACTGGTTAGCAATGACCGTGTACCATAATGAACAACGCGTCCAACGTGCGTTGGTGAAGTAGTGGTTACACGCTCGCCTCGCATGTCAGATGTCGGGCGTTCAAATCCCGGCAAGGCCATTGGATATGCACTGCTGATGAGCTCTAATAAGAGCGAAACTCGAATCCACTGCTTGCCTTTGGTATGGACTCACCGGAATAGTTACACCAGGACAGGAGGACGACCGTTCAAACGAGAGTGATATGACCATGAACAAATTGATAATAATGTCGATAAGCCCAAAATTAGAAATAAAAATATCGACATATCAGAGGTTGTTTCGGACAACAGCCTCTGTCAGTAAGTCACGCTTTAAATCCTGGACTGTAATAAGCTCGTCCTCAGAGTCCGCTGGCCAATGATTGATGAAACCTCTGGCGAGTTCCAACCAAGAGCTGGTTTAAACCAGCTACAATGATCCCACAGGCTACACTAGCTGTTACAACACCAGTTACAACTATCCCAGGAATACCAAACGGGAACAGTCTACTTAAGATCACCGAAAAATGAAACTGTAAGCAATCGTATTATGAGCAAGTTAGAGGAGTAAAGTCCCATTGTGCTCTGCGACAAAAGTGAGACAGAATGTTTTTTCGAAGCTGTGGAATTTTCAGCTATGCTTCATCCAAGGACGGTAGAGATGGTCGGTCATAGTGACCTTATGCATCTATCGTCCAAAAGTTGCCCGTGACCTCCGGCAGATTACTCAGTATGGTAGAAAAAAAGATCTTACAGAACAAGAAATGCATCTTACGGACGTGGAAGCATCGCGACCTCTGTACCTTGGCCCTGCTGCCATTGGGCTACGCGAACTAGGTTGGAAAAATGAAAACTTAACCCTCTCTCGGGAAAAATCCCTTGGTAAAAAACGCCACCGTTTCATTCCGCATCTTTTTTAGTCAAAATTTCAACCTTAGGCATCTGAACTGAATTGTAGGCGATCTGGGCAACTAAGAAATAAGAGGTACTCAAGACGACACACGAACAGCGGACAGCTTCTTTCACTTACCAGTCTTGAACCTAATCTAATCGCGAACTCGACGGTCTCTTGTTTTTGAGTCTAGCAATTTAGTGGTTGTTTACTTCATTCCACTGAGAACAATGAAAATGAAAGATGGACCACTAACACCAATGACTCTTGAACACTGGTGCATTTGATGTCTGCACAAATTAGCCCGTATCCCTTATTTCACCAAAAGTTGACGCGTGTTACGTTCTCAGTAGACGAGACTCTACTGCGATAACCCTTCACATTGGGGCTCACAACAAACCGAATTCCGCTCCATAAGTCAGCTCTCCGTTGTCTCAATGGCGTGGGTGAGTTCCGAACCTGGAAACAATCCGTTTATCTGGACTGCTATTGTCAGGCGAACACACACAGCTAGACTGGACAGCTCCATCAGGGCTTGTGAAGATCCACGAGCCCGAAAGAATCCACCTGGATAGCTCCTCGACCGTGCCGTACATCTGATTAGTTGCGAGCTAACTGTTCAACTGAAAATGTGATCTAACCTGTTGAACCATCATCTTGGCCCTCGACTGCCTAAGTCCGCCAATTTCACTAACACATTAGGTACAGAGGGAAGGAAGAAATTAGGCAACCAGCACCGTACCGAAGCTTTCAGCACTTGGTAACAAAATGTGATGAAAACTAAACTAACCTTTTCTGTCGAAACAGCGTGTCATCCAACTACGACCGAAACACGCATCAACACGTTCTGCATGTCGCATGACAAAAAGCTGACGCGGTTTGGTGCGCAGGCTACGAAAGTAACCAAAACGCGTCTTAGCTCCTCCATGTGTAGGACTGATGGAAGGACTGCAGGGTACTGCCTGACCTGTGGTTGCCCAGTCGCCGCTGGATCGATCAGAGAGTGAAGACGGAGGGCGTGCAGGAGAGAAGGTGAACGGATTGGAAGTCGACAGAAGAGAAGGAACCCAGTAGGTGGGAGTTCGTGTATCTTTGTCACCCGATATCGAGGATTCCAAAAATGACGAAGGGGAAGACGCCAAGTTATTGGACGAGCTCACCGAATTCGACGAGTTCGTGGCGGATGCGGCGAAGCAATGCCTGCTCGGCACGACCACAGGGGGTGGACTGTTGGAGTCCTTGCTGCTTGACTTGATTGCCGGAGTACTGACAGTCGAGTGCTCGCTAGGTTGGCGGGATCGGGCACACGAGACCCAGACTGGCTCGTGATCATAGCCAAGTTCACCGGTACATGTGCCAGACGGCTGAATCGAATATGCAACCGTGTATAAGTTTTACGCAAGTAATAACAACTGGTGATGGGTTAAGACAAGAACCACTAAAAGAGGCTGACCCTAATGAGATTATTGCGGTCAAATTTGGCCATGTGTCTGAGTAGGCACCCTTTAAAGTGGAAAAAAATATAGCACTGCACAATATTCCTTGCTCATAAGAAGCCCCAATTGGGATCGCGAATCAGACCCCTTAGTTGGAGTTATTGCTTACTCAAATGTTCGGTCTAAAACGAAACCACAATTGTAACAACATGAACGGAAAATAAATGAAAAGACTGTAAGGATATGGATCCTCACAAGATTTTGAAGTTTTCTTCAAGTTGTGCGGACCAACGATAGACCTCTAAATCCGGTGAGGGCCATTTTCCTGTATTAACCATCACCCCTAGAAACTCAAGTCTCGGTTTCTTTATTTCCTGATGTAAATATCTGCAAATCTGCAACATTCTCATTGCTTTGCATTGCTTCGTTAAGACAGAGAGAAAGAACTCTTCCGTAAAATCATCTCACTATCGCAGCACATGTTGAGCTAACAATATGAGCTGTGTTCAGCCACACGACTACTTATCTGTCCTCAATCATCTAAGGGTAAAAGTCGATTCAATTAGCTTTACTTGGGGGACAAAATGAGGTTCATGTCAAGGGTCAAAGTGCCAAACACCCAAATAGTGGTTGTTTTGGTTCCGTCTAAGTGTGTCCTGTTCAACTGCTGGAGGGTCCCGCTAGTGCGGAGGATTAACGTCGGATAGTTACATTTTTCTCGCTGTTTATCGGTTGCTTTCAGAGGAAGTAGAGTATACCACCCAAATCAACGAATCAAACTCTCGACACGTGAATAAAGAGTCATAGATAAGCAGTAAAACGGTGGCACAGACAGACAGTGGGTTGGACAGGCAATTCAACGGGTTGTTGATGTGGTCACCGGGCTTGGTAATTGAATTACAATCGTTTCGTCAGCAAACGAGACGTCGTCAATGCCTGGTTGGGTGACCTATGCCCCGATGATACCTATTCGACTGGTGATAAGACGTCCGCAATCCAATGGCCACGGTTGGCGAACAGACCAACAAACACGGAGGGCGTAGTCGGAGATTCCATACGTAATTTTACGCTGAACCATGGATGCTTTTACATCTGTGTTAGGCAGCGACTTAAAAGCCATCCATAAAACTCAGGTCAAACCAGAAGACGTTCCTTAAGCTTGCCACGGATAACTTGATTCTACTGAGCTGCATTGCTACGCTCGATGATGAATTCTTTCAATACCAGTTGAAGAAATCAAGAGTAAGAGTTCCAATTTCCTGAAGATGCACGTCGAATAAATTGTCGATCCCAACAAAAAGTGGTAACACGGTCGCGTTTTAGAATTCAAAAAGAAGCAGCACATAAAAGTCAAGCGGAAAACCAGGTACTTACGGGAAGATAGGTGACGAAACGAGAATTTTCTAAATGCACACTCACAGCGCAAAAGGTACGAATAAAATGCAACTAGCAGAGGTGGGAGTCGCATTGAACAAGAAATCCTCGCATCCATTGCTGACCATTCCGATATGACAATATCCCTGTAAACACAATGATTGTCCAGCCTAACGTATCTTAGAATTGTGATGTGTAGGTGGGGGGACAATCGCGATGGTAATCGGTAACTTCGTTTCGTGAACCGGTCGTGAGAACCTCGCGAGAGAAACACGAAACCGGTTCAGACAATGACCGCGAGTGACTCGCGTCGCTGAGCGAATGCACGCACTTGACCAAAACAACTAACCTGTTTGCTACGTGGACCGTTTGTAAACTTTTCGGTGGAAAACTGGAAAACTGAGTCGATCGGTATAGATCTGCGTAAAAAGGGGAGAATAGGGAAGGCAAATAAATCCGGGTAGTTAAACATCTAGCATAGAGTCTGGATTTACTGTCGAACACCTCATTTATTCAGCGAAAGAAAGCAACATCAGAACGGAAGTCAAACCACTAGGACATGGGTGCAAAACGGGAAAAAGTGCTTGGGATATGTTGCACACCTTCATTTGAATACAGAATTAGGACTGCCACAAAAAAAACAGTGTGATTACAACGTTACTAAGCATAGAAAAAGACAAACTTCAAAACAGCGTGGATGTCAACGCACAACAATTTTTCCAGCTAGTTCTCTAGAGCTAAGTCTAGTGATTCGAACAAATTGCTAACAAAAATGTCATTAGGTGTGTACAACTTAATTCATATTTTTCCGCTCTCGATCTGGGCGAACCAATAGGCAATTTTCGATCAGGCAATAAATGACTGACTGGTCTGAGAATTCGGCGATCTCGAATCGGACGTCGAAGGGTCTTAATGCGTGGGGTTCTAGCATAAAACACAATCCGCGCGCATTGAAGTATGGGTGGGATGGCAAAACCATACTTACACCGTGCCGTGCGGTGAAACTAATGCGCACGCAGATTGCAGGACTGGTGTGAGAAAGTGTTCTGTAACGAGCGCACAGTGTGGGCTAGGGTGAACATTTTCCAGAGTACGGCTGGACCAGTGGATCACCTGATCACACGACGATGCACTCACACAGAAGTAAAGCAGGTCAAATTGCATCACTGGCCTTTCCGTTCCTGCAGGTAAAGTGTGGGCGATTGTCACGTAGGGCAGAACACACCTAATAGATGGTCGGAAGAGATAGATCCGTCGTTGATCGGCAAATCAGCTGGCTCGTAGTGTGGTGACCGGGGTAGCCACAGATCACATAGTTGACTGGTTGGTATCGTCAATTGTGCAAACACGAGGCCAATGAAACAAAGGGACAGAAGTAAGTGGAAACGGACAAGACACCTAAACCTTTCGAAAACACTGGCACGACGCAGTGCTCACAATCTGCACGGTTTGCGACGGAGCAATCGGGAGGCATCTGACGAAAGCCACGGGTTTTTTGGTGTGACGAGGCGTATCGGATAAAAGTGGGAGGGAAACAAAGCCCGGAACCGCGCGCTGGATGAAATGGAGGGGAACGAGCTGGTTGGTTGGATCGGAAATAACACGGTTAATGCCCATTTGCACCACAGCGGGCGGCGGACTACATAAAATTGGCAAGCATTTTCAAGACTATAAATTACCGTGCGAACAAAACCTTCAGATGGAAATACGCTTAGAATTCTTTAAGTGAAAACAGTGTGAGAGACACGAGACAGATTTTAGCGAAATACACTCATTTGCAGACAGGCTTTACGAGAGACCCACCTGGAACGCAGCTGAATCTATGTCTGGAAACATGACAAACGGGAGATGCAGCTGGGTTCCAGGTGAGTCTCTAGCAAAACCAACTTTGTTTGCAAATGAGTGCAGTTCGCTAATTTCGTGCAGTTTGGTTTCAAGTAGAACATGAGGTTGACGGAAACTCGGAAACTGCGCCTACCTGATGAGTCCCAAGAAGGGCGAAACCGGTCGTGGGCTGTCGAGGAGTTTTCAGCAACCTTAAAAGTAGTGCATTACAAAAAGCCAATTTTACTCTGTTCCGTCACCGGATGGTAAATCGGTATGTTGAGTATACGTTACGGCAGGTAACGCAAGTCCATCAGTGAACGTGTTCAGCAAATTATCTGATCCAGTCTAGTCAAGTCATCACAAGGACGTTCCACCAGCATTCATGTGCATACCGGTATGGAGGGACCGTGTACATTTTTTGGCAACTAATGCATACTGCGGCTCAGAAGCGTTGGAATTTGAGTCGAAATGCTGTAATTCGGTTGACATGCGCACGTGCAGAAACGGCTTTAAACAGCCGGAGTTTATGGACAGCTCAAATAAGATAACTGCTACCGACCGCTTGAACGCAGTCAAGATGAGATGGGCAAACCAATCACAAATTCGCCTGTTCAGAAGTGACAGTCCGAACGCATCCAGCTTGAGCTGGTAGGGGAGTGGTAACACGTTCGCCTTGCATTAAAGATGTTCAAATTCCAAAGCCCCATACGGACTGCTGATGAGTTCTACCAAGAGCAGAACTCCTTCATCGGTGTGGACCCACCAGAATAATTGCTCCAGCATAAGACGAAACGACAGTGAGGTGGACGCAGATTGTGCGAAATCAAATTCCCTTTTAAAACCGAAATTCTTTAAGGGGACCGGCAACTCAAAATGATTGGCGAACGAGAACAGGCAGTGGGAAAAATTGCCACCTGCTCCATAAACGATCAGGTTCATCGGTTGCTAGAGTTGTCCAAAATTTTAACTTGTGGTGAGATTGGTTGTTCTGCGGTCTATCTTAATCTTTTGTAGTGGTTCGGTACGCCGGTTCGGTTTGACTTACGATAGCAAAAGTATAGCATATTATTATCGCAGTTTTACCTACAATGCTCACGGAAACTTAGTATGTAACGTTGAGACCGACGACTGCATAAAACATGAAGGGTTCAAGCGAGAGAAGAATGCGTAACATCGTTTGCCGAAACCAGTGCTGGTTCCCATGCCCAGTGGCGGAAGCAGAGAGGTAACCTGGCAGAGGGGTATGAAAGAAATCACGAAACGTCTGGGTGCTGTCGGTGCTACTCGCCTTCCAGGATGGGGATCGCGTGATCCGCACTTTGCCTGGTTAGAGACGCTGCAAAATGTGGCTGCCAACCGATGTCAGTGGCGTTCTTGTCATCAGTTTCTATCCAAATTGTCTGAGTGAGTGTTTGGAGGTGTAGGCACCTCGGAATGATTGTAGTAAGCCAGCACTAAGTCCATTCCCCATCCACCTTTATTTTTTTCTTCACAATAAGGCTTTCAATTGAATCAAGGTTGTATGGCAGCGAAGCATCGGTATTGAACACTGATATCATGCTGTCGAAAATGATGATGCGTAACAAACTCGACCAGCAGGCTATCAACAAGTAGAGCAAGAACATGATATTCCCTACAAAAATAGACGTCTCTATGTTGTCAAAAATAACGAAGCACCGTTGAAGGTCGCACACAATCTAGATAACTAATCTCCCGTACAATGCTTCGATATCAAACGGACGTCTGTCAAAGGTCCACTGATCTTGTAGGTAATGTGTTCTGTAAAGGCAATGCATTAACTTCTTGTTGCGGGCAGCCGGCGCGGAATTCAATAAGTGGTAGTACTACCCACTAGACTGACTCGACCTAAAACTGAAACGCATTTGAGTGAACCAACTAGGGGTCAGCCATCCCAGCTAGATGTATTGGAATTCACCTCCTAAGGCACGGTGAGATCCGGCAGAATGTTCGTCAAAATCGAAGAGGACATCCTCACTAGTTCTATCATAACAACAGTGTAGGAATAATCAAGCGGTGGTATGCAGCTACAAACTCTTAACATCAGGGTTTCTCACACCACAGAAGCAGCATTTCTCACAATAGGGCTCCTTTGTCTGCTGAACAAGACATCAAACGACAGCTAATCCTCAAATCTCCCTTCGCACGCCGCCACTCCAATGGCGTTGAGGCACAGAACGGAGCATCGAAAATGCTAAGATCCATTGCATATCTTCATGATTTTCTTTTGGTTAATTTCACTATCCCCCTGCTTGAAAACTGCGATACAGGGTTCGAGTCACGGTATCCGCTAAGAATGGGCGACATGCTAAATGCCGCCACGATGGATGGATCGACACACACACACACACACACAGATCAAGTGTGTTCTGTCCTATGCGACCATAACTCATGTACCGTCTGCCGGACAGAAAAGGTGAGCGAAACAACTTGGCTTATTTTTCATAAAGGAAACTACTCACAAGTTTGCAGCCCACGATCGGCTTCGCCTTTCTTGGGGCTCATCAGGTAAGCACAGTCCTCGAGTTCTCGTGATTCTTATGTTCTATTTGAACCCAAATTGGGCCGATTTGGATATATACATTTACTTACATGTGAATTTAATTTTCACGAGGGACTCAACTGAATCCCTTATTTACGATGTTTTCCAACTGAATGTGCTGCATAAAGATTTCAGTTGGTACGATATTTGAGATAAGCTCGTTGTGTGGCCTGCCCAGGTGGTCCACCAGCCCAATCATAAGGTGAAAAATCTCCACACCGGTCCACTGCGTCAATGTTACGGAACACCTGTTAGGCTCACTTCACCTTATCAGTCCACATGCACATTAGATTTGGAACGCGACAGGACAGTTACAGTCTCTCACTCCCAGTCTCAATTCGTGAGATGGTCTAATCTGCTGTCATTCTCACACGTTGAGACTGCGATCTAGTGTGACACCTGTCATGATCAACTGATGTCTGGCCAAGTCTAATGTGGGAATGCTCGCCTGAGCTGAAAAAAAACAACCAGAGGTTTTATTGCATGGATATCCCAAAAGCTGGACAACACACTGTCGTACTGAACAGAACGCTCAGCAACTGACAGCTCAGTACCATGGTTCGAAATTGTTCGAATCACTAAGCGGAAAGTGGGAGCATGGACTCCACTCATTTAGCAATGTGGAAGTATGTGTGAACGGCCGATGATGTTAGCCATTCACACAGGTTCGTGTGCACTGTGTCCAGGTAGCGAGCCAATTGAGTGTTCTGGTGATGGAATTTTGCAGTGTAGCGGTATGGATCACGGGTCAGCAGAAGTAGGTTCAAAAATTTTCCAACAACTGTATGAGTAGTGTGTCCCGTCAAGGATACAAGTGTCCTTTCAACTGAAACACGAAGTGGTCTTTGTGGCACATTCGGTTGAAGATTATCATAACCGAGAGAGTCAGCTGAGACTCCGTATTGTCTCCCACTGAAGCCAACTTAAATTGTACAGAAATGTACTTCGGCAACTCTCTCTCTCTCTCTTACTCTTCGACCACAGAAATTTGTATGACTGAAATAGACACAAGCTGTGGAGGCAGATATGAAC